AACTTGTTCATGTATATCAACAAACAATTCTTTAGTAACTCTGTGCTATTGCGAAATAAATCGCTAATTCACAAATCATTGGAAAATGACAAATTTATACAAATGTGAGCTATACAGGACTACCCTGGAGTAATTCGTCTGTTGAAATAGTCTTCCGAGAATTAACTCAACGGTACTAAAACATAAAGCAACTATGTTTTTATCCATCATGTAATGTCCTGATTTGATAAATGAATGTTATTTATTATCTGTACAAGAAATACTTCATGTCGAATTTCTTACTAATAACCAGAAGGTTTACTTTGGGCAACTTGGAAACGATACTGAGTTGAGTAAATTACGCAAAATATTTCTTGTAAGATACGAATATGTTAATCTGTTGGCATCATTTTAAGATATTGCAATGGATACGTTCCTGAAGCGATATTAATACTTCCTGTTGCATGCATACCTAAGAATTCCATAGAGTCTCTGATGATGGCATAAGCCGAAATCGGTTAGACATTAAATAGAGTAACCAGAAAAAGTATTTTTTTATTTTAATTAGATTATTACTTTTATTGAATTACAAAAAGAAATTGTGTAATTTTATCACAAGAACCGTTTCAATGAAAAGAACTGAACCGCATCTTTTAGAGTATTTAAGAGACGAACACGTGCCACCCGCAGCGCTTTGAAAGAAAACCCCCCTTAAGTAGTCATTCTTGTTCGAAATACCTGTGCAATTACTAGCACGTGGATGAAACACGCAGACTTCCTTCCTGTCCGAAGAAGACCCGTGTCTGTCAAAGGTGGCGTCTACGCCTATCCCAAAACCTAAATAATGGCTCATTGTTAAATACAGTTTGTTCGCCTTTTCTTCTAAGAATTCGACTCTTAACTTTTCATCTCATTTCTTTTACATCTCCCTCCCTCTCTTCTCTATATGAATTAATATCAATTTCTCATTTAATTCTTTAATAATTTTGAAACAAAAAAAATTGTTTACGTTAATCGTACGTGATGAGTTCAGATTATTTGGATATTCTTCGCGAGAGAGTTCAAGTCGTTGTTATATGGAAGTGTTTGAAATTGACGTCTTTTTAAAAACAAATCGGTTCTCGAACGCGCGCTTCGCGAGGTTACTCACTCAAGGCCGAAACGAAAAACAATAAACTAGTAGTACGTGGGTAATTGATTTTCGAACCGGACGACGACTGCAGTTTTAAGGTTCAAACGAAACGGTTACGTACGCATAACGCATTATGCGGCACCACCTTGAAGTTATGTTCTATGGAAAGTTTCTCGTTTAGAAGCACGTTTAATGAACTTCTTTCGTTTTAGTTATATTTGTACACAATTTTCTTATTGTTTATGACGATGAATTATTATGTTAAAGACAGCAGTCTTAACATTATTAGATGCAAATACTTAGATTGAAAAGGAAAAGGAAATGTCAAAATTTTGGGTGATTTGTATTAGGTCACTTAATGAATTTAAAACAGCTGACAGATAAACTAACAACTTAACACTTTGAGTACCATTTCTAATTTATGAAACAAGTTTTTGTAATAGTTAATAATTAAAGAGCCATAAATGGAGATTATGCAATGTAGGAAAAATGAAATATCTTGAACGAAATTGTCTGGCAGAAATTGTTTTGCATTAAGCAAACCATAAGGCCAAAAAAAGATTAAGAATTTTTTGACAAACTTGACAGAATCGTTATAGATTGGAGCCAATCCATCATCATGGATTGCTAACAGGATTAAACTAGGAGGCGAAGAAGAATAAATGAGGTGGAGCTAAGCCATCTTTGACTTATGGCTCAAATTTCGATCAATTGTAACCCAGAATAACGAAATTGCTCCCTTCGAATGGTTTTCAAGAGAATGGGAGTTTGCGGCTTGAAATGCTACCGGCCACATTTTATGTAACAATTTTAACTTCGAACAACAAAGTTTTAAGTGGTGTAGGTTGCGATTATACTGAAACCTAAAGTGGTATAGGGTGGTGTTTATTGATAAATCCCGATTCGGTTTGGTCAAGCATGATGGCTGTATAAGTGTCAGACGAGGATTTGAGGAACGTCACAATTTTATTTTTTTGTTGTGAGACATGAGTACCAAACTGTGAGGATTTTGCTATAACTCATAGAAATAGGTTTCCATTAATATTTCTCAGAGGCAATATAAACCCAGTGACATATGGATAAGGTGGAACCTACATTCTTCCATTTTGTCTGTCCGGTATTGCAAGGCGCTTTATGGATCACTTGCATAATGTGTTTCGCTCAATTGTCTGACTATGAGGAGAAAACCGCTGCATTTTCCGCAGACCCTGCAAGTTGTAGAATATGAAATATAGGTTTCTTGGGACAAAGTACTTCAATTTGATTGAATTGATGTCATGAAGCATGAGGAGCCATTATTGCAAAACTTTATCGAACAAAGTTTTTTAAAGCATTACACAACGAGTATGCTTATCGGGTCCAGATCACTTCCAACAGCAAGTGAAATATTTTCGATAAGGCCTTTACCAAGGCTTCTTTTTCAAATTGTAGAGAATACCCTTCGGAATACACCAACCGACAAGACCACAATTCTTAGGTATCCATGCGACAGAAATTATTAATATCTTTCGAGTTGAGAGATAGAGACCGAGATGTGCAGAGACAGGAAAGAAGGACACAAATAAAAGAGGGGAGGTATAACGAAAGGTACAGGGACATAATTACGGAGGGGCTGCCTAGATACTTGTTATTGGAAGGAGATGAGGAAGGGAAGAAGTTGGTGGCTAGGTTCCGTTGTGGAAACGAGGAGAGACCTAACAGATACTGGATGGCCGATAAGAAAAGGTGGTGTAGGCTATGCAGGGAGGAATGGGAAATGTTGGAACATATGTTGAATGGGTGCAGTGAGTTGAGGGAGGAGGAGTTGGACCGAGGGCAGATCTTAGGAGAGGGGGGAGAGGGGAAACGATCTATGAGAATGGTTGTGGGGGTGAGGAGACAAAGGGATGGATGAGGGGAGAATTGGGCCGAGGAGCCGAGGGTATGGAATGTATTAGGATGTATTAAGGGGAAAATTGTAATTATCAAAAACAATAAAATGCTTATTATTACTCAACTCAGTATCGCTTACCGTTTCCAAGTTGCCCAAAGTAAGCCTTCTGGTTATTAGTAAGAAATTCGACATGATAGTATTTCTTGTACAGATAATAAATAACATTCATTTATCAAATGAGGACATTACATGATGAATAAGAACATAGTTGCTTTATGTTTTAGTACCGTTGAGCTAACTCTCGGAAGACTATTTCAACAGACGAATTACTCCAGGGTAGTCCTGTATAGCTCACATTTGTATAAATTTGTCATTTTCCAATGATTTGTGAATTAGCAACTTTTTTGGCAATAGCACAGCGTTACTAAAGAATTGTTTGTTGATGTACATAAACAAGTTCTCAAAGTAGGTTAGATTTATACTAGAATAGCTCTTAGAATGAGTTGTTCCAAATTAGCTGAGTTGCCTATACAGGGTGTTTCATTTAATTTCACATATGCTTATACCTCGAAAACCAAAACTCGAATTGGAAAAAGTTTCAAGTAAACTTTTTTGGTGAAAGGGGTACACATGAGCAGATGTGACGTCATTTTCATTTTTTCAAATCGCACATATACTTTTTTCTTTCAACGTTTTGAACAACTTGACAAACTAAGTATTTTTTTCTTAAAAAATTTTTGTCTTAAATTCTGCGTTATGAAGATATCTACAAAAAGAAAAATAAAACATAATTTTTCAAAATGTAATTAAAAAAATTTAATTAATAAAAAAACGATTTAATTAATCGTAAAATAGTACTAAAATTCTTCTTCATTTTTGAAATTACCTTAGAACATTGATTAAAATTTATAAAGTTACCTTTATACATCGATTAAATGCTCAAAATAATGACCTTTCAGTTCTAAACATTTCTGAATTCTCATTGCCAAGCATTTCTTCAGTTATTGATTCGCATTATATTGCATCATATTGGAACCTGGTTGTAAACTTTCTCTTTGAGGTAACCCCAAAGAAAGAAATCGGGAGAAGTTAAGTCGTTAAGATTTGTTGCAGTTTCATGTTCGTATCTTATGAGAAATGTTTTCCTTAGTTTACTCAACTCAGTATCGTTCACCGTTTCCAACTTGCCCAAAGTAAGCCTTCTTCAGAGACTGTATGGAGTATCTGATGATGGCGTAAGCCGAAACCGGTTAGACATTAAATAAAGTTTCCAAAAAAAGTATTGTTTCTTATCGTAATTTACATTAATTTTTGGTTGCTATGACATTTATATCATCAATCCAACTTAAACGTAAAAATAATTTCTAAAATTTTGCCTGTCTAAATCGTTATTCTAATTTTTGATGATTTTGAATTTAGTAGTTTATATTTTGCATAAACATCCAACGACTGATAGTTAAACAAATATCTTTTGTTACCATTTTTATTCTTTCTATTCACAGTTTTAGCTTTCATAATCATTTTCATGATGAATAAATGTTCTTAATAACCCCTTTTAGTATTAGTAGTTAGTCGCGTGGCGCACTCACGCTTTTAAATGTTCTGTTTTATTTTTGTGTTCAGCTTCGTTGAGTTTGTCGGCGTTGAGTGGTGGAGATGGTATTACCTTTTTGGTTGGGTTCTCCTCGCAATTGGTGACAGTCATTCGTTCTGAAACCTTCACGCAGTGTGTTAGTTCTCTCAAAAAAGCTTTATCTCTTTATAAAATACGCGAAAAGTTTTTGTTTTATTTTGATAGTTTTTTTTTTATGTAAGTTTTCCTTTCTAAAAAAAATTATTTTTTATTCTTAATATAATTGTTTCTTAAAAATATTAAAAACTTGTATACTATACTTAAGTGTTTAGTATTTTACGTAATCGATGGTTTTTCTAAAATCAATTAGACAAAAGTTTTTTTTTAACTTCTAAATTGTTTTGTTGCTGTCTTTATTATGTTTCTTGTTTTCTTAATTGCAGTCCTCTTTACAAAGGCTCCGTGACAAATTACGCCGGTCAAATGTACGCTACGGGGTCACCGCAACCACAATTTTGGAATAACACAGGTAAATAATTATTAATTATTAATATTTTCACTCAAAATAATTTTTAATTTCAATTCACATCTCGTTGTCGATTTTATTATATTTTACCTGGAAAACCGTTTATTTCTTTATCAATATGCAAACATTTAGATGATAAAACAAGATAAGTAATATAAGAATTTTCTTGACATTTTCCATTTTTTTAAATAATAAAAAAAATCACGATTTGGACTTCGATTCTTTGTGGGGTTATTGTTTGTAACTCTTTTTTAAAATACCAAATATGATTCATTATCAGGGAATATGATCACGTATTGATTCGATGAGTGTGAAATGTTCAAAGTTTATTTCGACATTTCTTTTTTTTTTAATTAATTTATTTTAGTATTTCAATTTCATTACTTATTGAATCTTTTCTGACCTATCCAACAAAATAAATGTACAACAAACACGATAACGTGTCGTGATCAAAAATTTAAAAATACACATATTTAGACGGCCTTTTGACCTTTGGTTGATGCACATCTTCGATAAGACAAAGATTTCTTGCATCGGTTTATAAAAAAAGATTTATGCATTTATTTAATTATATTATTGTATTTTTTTTTAAGGGATGCCCACCCAATCAACTTTAAACTTATCCGATGATTTCCCAAAAGTGACCTCAACTGGCTCAACGAGTGCTTTACCAGCTTTCAACAGAATCCCATCATTTAGTAATACAAGCCCAACACAACGAACTTTTAATACACCTTACTTAGAATGGGGTGGCCATCAATATCAAGATTCATCACCAACTTTACCGTATCAAATTCAAAATAATGTTTCGCCGCGGGGTAGAACTTGCTTTTCAGCAGCGGCGTCACTTTCAGCAAGTAAGTTAATTTTTTTGTTTTAAAATTTTTTATGATTAGCCAAAACGTTTTGATGAAAATGAGAGGACAATTTCTTTCAGCCCCCAGTTTAAATTTGATATAGGTATATTTGTGTGGTCGAAGCGTTAAAGGGGGCGTTAAGTCCCGAGGGAAGAATCTCTCGGTTCGTATTTCAAAGCCATAATACAAATTATACGATGTGTTCCTCCTATTTTTTTGTCGGTTTGGGTCAAGTGGAAACATCTGTTTGTTTTCACCTTGTTAGCCCACCGAGAAATTTTTAAGTTTTATCAAAAAAATATTTAAAATAGAAATAACAAGGTAAAAAAATTTAAATTATTTAAAAAACATTTAAATTGTGTAAACTACAAAATTTTATGCGTAAATATTTCGAATTTTCAATATTAAAATAATACTCTCTTTAAAACCACAATATTTATTATTTTTGTAATTTTAAATGAGTAGGTAGTTTGTTTGAATATCTCTAATTACTCTGATCAAGCGAAAATGCTAAATAGTTTTTATCCCACGGGGATCTCGATTCAACTCGTTGTATGCTGAGTGTCATTTCTAAGAAATCGAGGTCCGGTTTTCGCGACCAAATAACAAACAGAGTTCTCTCTGCCCTAAACATCCTGTGTTATTCGCTTTTTATTCCTTTGACATTCGACACTTTACCGAAACAAAAATCGAAAATGATTAAAATAAATAATTTAAAATCATTCATTCAAACATATTTTAATAAAATCCGGAAACTACGTTCTCTTCTTTATCATTTTTAATCAACGAGTTGTATCTTATCAATTTTTTAAGTTTTAAAATCAAATATTGAATATTAGATAGCGCATGGTACAAACGCGATATCATTTTAATATTGCCTTTTCCTTACACATTTTTGATAAATTTTATATAGATTGTAAAGTTAAGGTAATAATTTTAATCAATTTTGAAATTTTAACTAGATCTCCATAATAATTCTTATCTTGTATTGAATTTATGATTTGATCAATAAACATGACTGTTTTGACCAATGACATCAATAATTCGCTGAATTTCGTTTATAACGTCAGTGTTTGTGCAAACTTCCTTTCAAAATTCTTCCATAAATTGGTCAAAAGCAAATACATAATTGGTCAGAGGAACATGAGCACTCATTTTTAATTGTTAAAACATTTTTAGGCCAATCGGCTATTCTGGTACCTTCATCCGAATTATCTAATGCTTCATCTTCAACCATTAATGCAGTACTTTCTCAAACCATTGATAATTCTACACAACCTATCGTAATCTTTTCTCAAAAACTTACTAATTCACGATTTAGACAGATCATAAATTCGTTACTTACATTACATTATTTAATTTACATCTGATATCAGATTCATAGAGGGATATTCTAATATAGTATCAGACGCTCTTTCAGGAGTAAAATCTTTAACTTGCTTTTATCCAGTATAAAAAATATACAAGCTGCACAAGAAGACGATTTACAACCACAAAAACACACATACATTGTTTTGGAATTAGCCAAGATATCTAAACTTCAGTTAGTTTCAGTCAGAATTTACATTCTACCATACTATCTTCGATAGATTTCACATTTTTCATCCAGGGATTCAACATTTACTTAAAACACTCTATTTTTGGCCGCGACTGAACAAGGACTTTATTAGTCCAAAGATATATGGACTAAATCTAGGCTTCGTTATCAAAAATACACAAAATTTACCTCCACTTCAAAAATTTACAGTTCCGAAAGGTAGATTTGAGCACATTCACATAGATCTCACATTCTGACAGTGATAGAACGCTTTGCACGCTGATCAGAAGCTTTTCAAAATTTAACAGTTAGCATTGATCAGTTACCATTAACAAACAAAATGTTAAAAAAGTTTTATTTTCTCTTCCTTAAGTTAAATTTTTCTTTTAAGTTCAATTTTAAGTCACATTTTAATGTGGCGCCAAACACCATAGCCAACCTTAATTTTGAAATGTAACCATATAAATTATTGCTATGCAAAAAAATATTTGTTTATGCACACATTTGTTTGGTCATTACAAAAGTTCCTCGGCACGCAATAAAATCGTCGTCCTTTCAAAATACTTCCATACTGTGTCCATACTGCGTCCATACTTTCGATGCACTTGTGCATGAGGTTGCGTTTCCCCATCATCTCTTAAGCATAGCCATTAATCTCTTACGATGAGACCAATTTTACAACCCGTTCCTCAATTTAAAGCTATTTTTTTTAATTTCGACAACGCAGCCCTCTTTTTTCTAAAATCCTAGACCATTTCTCATATTCTCACAATGACATGGTACCCTCTGCTAAAGAGATGGGATTTTTCATAGTTCTCGAGTCAAGGTATAAAGTCAAAAGTGTGTTGTCTGCAACTCAGTGTGTTAAAGTAAATAGTGAGGTTGCACAATGCATGGAGTATAGGCCAATCATTACAATAACTGATAAGACTAGCTTTTCACTCGCCCTTTCTTCAATTTCTGCTATAATATTACTGGGCAGAAATCTTGCAATCAGGAAATATTTTGATACAACAAATCCTTTGATTCCTGTACTATATAGCAAGAAACGAAGTGTTATTGGAACCACATATTCAGATATGCTCAAGATTCGTGCCAATTTGTTGCCATTTCAACTTAGTTATCATGATGCAGTAAGGATACATTGAAGTCAGCTTTGTGCATAAAGATAATTTTCATTTCAAAGTCACAGTGGACTGGTATTCAAAATGAAATTAATTCATTCTATAACGTTATTTCTACCATAACTGATTATGAGCAACTTTTTTAACGGCTTTTTTAATGTAAAATTGTGCTTATGAGATGTAGTAAAGATCTAGCAGCCCAACCCAACACAACTATATTACAAAGTTATATAAATAATTGAAGAAAATTCAATACTCCAATATACATTTATTAAGTAACTTTAGTTTTCAAAAGTCTTGTCATTAAACAACTATCAACTTTCGAAATTGTATCATAATGCTTAAAATAAATATGATAACTATTATTGAACAACAAATGCAAAACGTATCCTTGTTTACGAAAATGCAACAAAAAAGCAGAACCTGAACATGTCTTTGTAAATGGCTAAACCGGTAAACTTACTTAATAAATGTATGTTGGATTATTAAATTTTCTTCCTTTATTTATAATCAATTGATACCAATATGATGGATAACCTCATCTATTTCAAAGATTCTTATTAAATTTTTTAAACTTTAAGGTTAGTTCATGTACTCTTTCTTGTTTTTGCGCAACACCACTTTGTTATTTAAAATTATCTCCTTCGTTATGCTGTGATCATCGATAAAAAAAATATATATCTCCTCTGCAGTAATAAATAGGGTTGAGATGGGTTGGGTTTAAAATTCTTATAACTCCTGATCTATATACAAAAATTTTGTTTTCATTTGCCATAATGATCCTGTTTTATTGTAGATAAAATCTGATGATGGAGTAATTTTTGAAAACCCTCAGTAATTTCTACGAGACGTCAAATGAATTTGTAACAATCAAATGAACAATAACATGATGCTTTCTTGAAATATTTTTCATTCCATACAAAGTTTGATGTACTTCAAGTTGTATTTCATGCAGTTTGAATTTGATGATCATACGGCATTTTTGAATCAAATCAAATTCACCCAACATATAAAAATACTTATATTTACAAAAATATTAAGTTCCAGTTTACTGGATAATCAGTAATTAGTTAATCAGTTTTAGAATAAATAATGAAATTAATGAATATCCTAGAATCATATTTTTTGCAAATAAGATTTTGTAGACTTCGTTTTGATAAATGGCAGAAATACTTACGCAAATGTATAGTCTATTAATAGAAAACTGTAAAGCACTGTGACCAGTGTTCTTTTGCATCATATTTGACATCTTCTGCGAGTTCTGTATTGGCAGTTCTTTTCATCTGTACAACTGTCACACTGAAATGTAATAAGTTACTTGTAGTTGGCAGTTTCTTCGAGTTCTAAACTGATTTTTTATTATCAGCATCCATGAGTTGAAGAAAGTTTTCAAATAAAATCTTTTGGTATTCAATTCTTCCTAATTCGATGTAAAACCACAAGCATTTCATTTCATTTGAACACCAACAATATTAAAATTATAAATATTTGCTGTTTTTGGCCAACAAACATCAACAATCGGAGTTCTGTCACTATATAATCTTTTAGGATATCTTGCTTACAATGTAACATTTTTCAATGTTTTTGTTTTTGCCGTAAATTTAGCAAAGTGGTTATGAAGTTACAATATTATACTTTGAATTTATAGTATGATACATGATGATTTTAATTTATTCCAAACTCAGTCTTTGCCATCAACCCGACGTAATTAGAAAATGTATCTGCAGATTTATTGGATTAATTTTTATGGCTAGTAACTGGACGTGAATTTTTACCTCGTCATGATTAAAATATTGAGTCAATAATATGAGCATTTCCATAGCGTCATACACTCATAATTAAAATTGATTGCAAATAAGTTTCTTCGATTTCTATTTTTCTGCATTTTCTTCTTTTTCCTTCTTAATTTTCTTTCCTATTGACTAGTAAAGTTAATAAAGTTTTCTGCCTCTTCAAAATTTCTAACTTTGAAAAGTGCAAATAACATGATTGAAAAAGAAAAGGTTAAAATGAAATAATTTCCCATAAAATATAATTTTACTTTTTTCAAACTATTGTTTGCAAAACAATGACACATTTCTACTAAAAAAAAAAGTTACTTTTTAATTTATTTTTTTAAAAATCTATTGTTTCCGACGTGTAAAAAAAATGGGATTTTCTTGGCACGAGCCAAGTTTAAGTAAACACTTCAGTGCAAACGTTAAAGCGGAAAACGGACAACGTAAACTACTTAAAATACCGGAAACGACAATGTAGACGACCACTTGCGAGTTAGTGTTTACTAATCGACGCGTGGCACAGCTGAAAAAAAAAAGATAAAAAAAGAAAAGTCTGGAAAC